TTTGTGTACAGTGGTGCCTCACTTAGGAATCGCTCCATTGAGCGATGAAATAGCTTTGTGATGGACTTTTGGCCATCGCTGGAGCGATCGCTTCGCGATGTCCTCTATTGCTAAAATTCGCTTTGCGATGATCGTGGGGAAGCGATCATAGCAAAGCGAACTTTTTTAAACAGCTGATCGGCGGTTCCAAAATGGCCACCGCAAAAACAAAATGGCTGCTGCTGTTTTGCCTCGCTGTAGAGGCACCCAAAATGTCCGCCAATATGGAGGAATTTCACTTTAAGGTGCGTTTTTAGCCCATAGGAACGTATTAAACGCGTTTTAATACGTTCCTATGGGCTTTTTAAAACCGCTTAGCGATTAAATCACTTAGCGATGTTTTTTCCGGAATGGATTAACATCGCTAAGTGAGGCACCACTGTATTCTCAGTTCATGTAAATGGCTTCATATTCTTCAGAAGAAGATTATATTAGGCTCCAATCAATTTATATTACACTTCAGTTTTGTTCACTCATTGGAAGGAATTCGTAAAGAAGAGTTACCGACCTGCACCCAAAGGAAAGGCATGCTATTTTTTCACACTGTTTCTAACCCTATGACAAAAGACTTCCGATGTTTACTGCTTGGAGGCAGGACAAATGAAACTTCTCTTCTGTCTAAGGTGAGCAGAGAAGAACTACCCTTATCTCAATGGCAACACTCGTATGCTGGGAGGAAGAAAAAGGGAGAGGAATCTGCTGATAGGACTACTGCTGGAGCCTTCCTTCATAGTATCTGGGTCCTGGAGTCCTCGGGCCACAGTATTGTGGGTGGGGTGCAAAGAAAATGGCTGTCCTATGACTTCACTGACTTGAGGCAACTATTTTCACAGTTCATGTCTGGTCCCCAACCAGAATGAGATGAGGAGGTAGTAGATATATGACTACTAAAGTGCTAGACAACACTGCTCTCCAGAGGTATTGAGCTATAGCAGTGGTTCCCAACCTTGAGTCCCCAGATGTTCCTGGACTGCAATTCTGAGAAATCTTGGCTAGCATAACTAATGGTAAAGGCTACTGGGAATTTTAGCTCAAGAACATCTGAGGACCCAAGGATGGAAACCACTGGACTATAGCATCTATCATCCTTGACTGCTGGCCATGCTGGATCAGAATTATAGAAAATGCAGTCCTGAACATCAGGAGGATAACTGTTTGCCTGAGAGGCAAAGAGAGACAACATGAGAGGGATCGACTCCATAAACAAAGCCACAGCCTTAAATTGGCAGGAACCGAGTAGGGCTGAGGTCATTCATTCATTGGGTTGTCATAAGTCATAGGTGGCTTGTAAGTGCTTAACAACAGCAATTTCAGTTTCAATAGTCCAAAGGAGGTGGACTGTGTGCCTTTGTTTTCCTGGAAATTGGTCATGGCTACTTGCTTAGCAGAAGACACCAGTCTAACATTACGGAGTCCATTAAGCAGCATTCTGTTTCTAGGCTTGTGCCATAGATCACCTCTTTTTCAGCTAAAGTGTTTATCAGTGAGCTGTCAAAGGATACTGCAAACAGCTCCTGACTACCAAGAAGAGGGGAAACAAGGTCGCGGTCCCATGGGTCATGCATGCTTATGTCTACTTCACGGGCCTTGACTTTCTTGTCATTAAGGGATGTGACAATCCCCTGCCAGCACATCAATTGCTCTCCATAAATTAAGCCCTTTTCTGAAGTTTATAGAGGCAATGTGCGTTTTTTTTAAAGCAAGGTGAAATGATGCTTTGAAAGAAACTCTTTCATTTGGTCCAATGCTCTTTCTTTTCCTTCTGTGACCTATTTCTCTCCCCCCCCCCCCCCCCGATGCACTGGGTGGGCTTAACACTATTTACAAAGTAAAACCCTCCTGGAGATTTCATGCTGTCAAAGTTCTTAGCAGAATTCAGGATTATGTTTGGAAAATGAGGCGTGACAATCCCTTTGGGGGGAAATTTACTCTCACATTTGGGGACAGGAAAATGATGATACACTGCTTAAACTGAACCAAATAGCTGTGGAAAAGTATGAGTGCCATTGGCAAAAAGGGAGTGGCTTAGCTTTGCCTGGTGCTCTATAGCCGCCATGAGCACTACAAGGAGGATTTAAATGCAAACATAACCCCTCAGCACAACTGAATTCACCTAATTGAATCCTATTTGGTGAATCCTTATATCCATAATATTCAATGAAGAAATACCTTGAAGAGTAGCCATAGGCCTGTCTGCTTTTCAGACAGAGGGTTCCCAAGCTTCTCCATGTAAGGCTCCATGTAAGGCTTGCCCCTAGAACATGGGAAAGTGGCTAATAGTCACTGTCAATAGTCACTGGGCTAGATGGAATAAGAGCCAGACTCAAAAATACATGTGAGGAGGAAGTAAAAAGGCTAAAGATCTAGAGCAATTTTCAGATGGTCTTCAGATGTGTTAGACTACTACTGTCATAATCCACAGGCTGGAGGGTTCTGTATTGGATCAGTCTGATTTCAAAGGTTAAATGAGAGTTCCTTTCTTATTTTATCTTTAATTGTGCTTTGGATAAATAACTTTTAATTTCTGGACTTGAACTGAAAGTAAGGCAGATTAGATCCCCTTTAATTAGTAAATTAATAAATTCATTCTTTTTGATGTCTGCTGCATAACCTTGCCTTTCTCCTTGGGGTATAGACACAGGACTCCTCCTTTAACGGAAGGAGTCAGTTCCAGAAACCACAATTATATCATTAACTGCAGAACCATAGCACCACACCCAAAGAGACTGTGCTTTCCCACACAGTGATCTCTAAAGAGAAAATAATTAATTTGGCTGGTTTTGAAGCTGAGCGCATAAACAGCCCAAGAATCTCAAAGGGTAGCGAGACTGCAAACGTTGCCACTTCAGAGTTAGAGATATCCATCTCCCAATTTATTTTCTATGGGAAAACAAACGTGCCTGTCATCTTCCAAAGGAAAATACAGGGCTCTCTGCTTTGCTTTTTGTGAGGCTGAAGGCAGCTCTCTCTTTTTGCAGCCTACCTTCATTTCAAAGGGCAAACATAGCTTAGACCTGACACTGGGCATTTTCTTGTTACTCTCTCTCAAGAAAATAGTGTGGCTATACTTGTTGGGCCAGCACTGTGTCCTTATGTTTATTTGCTACCATAGCAAATTTTCAGACCAAGCTAGGGACAGACATAAATCAAAGGACTTTAGTTTCACTGGGTTGTAGATCAGGAATATCAAATATTTCCTACCTGCCATAAAACTGCAATAATAGTATAAGATATAGAATACTGAACAAGAAGTTGAAAGCAGTTAGGCATTTAGTCAGTTCCAGCTATCACTGATACATTTCTGGGCAGGATTCAAATGATGATTCTAATGTATAAAGCCCTAAACAGCGTGGACCCAAGCTGTCTTCCTTTCTGAGCCAGCTTCAGTGTGAAGATCATCAGGAGAGGCCTTCTTCTCAGTCCCATCACCTTCACAAGAACATTTGGTGGGGACACAGGAGAGGGCCTTCTCTGTTATTGCTCCCAGATTTTCCAACTCCCTCCCTCTGGAGGCTAGTCTGGCCCCATCTTTGCTGTCCTTCTGCCAGCAGGTGAAGCCCCTTCCATCCAGACAAGCTTTCCTCGAGTGACTGGCTACATGAGTGGGGTTTTTTTAAATGGACTGCTGCTTTAGTATTTTATGCTCACTGTTCTTAGCTATACTGTCTTTTAATGATGTAAACCACCTTGTGTCCTTTTGACCGAAAAAGGTGGAAGAGCAAAAATTTAAATAAAGATGCAAATAAATAAATAAGTTCCATAGCTTAGAGCAGCAGGATAAATGACCACTCTTTATAATTGTCACTTCATCCTATCACCCTGGTACTCTCAAGACAATGCATCACTCAAAAGAAGTGTAAAAGGTGACCTAAAATTGCCTCCAAATTAATTCTGCACCATGGGAAGCTGGGCCCTGGAGCATTATCCTGCTGTTGATCAGTTATGGACTGTACCCTTATACAGTAAGACTCCCATATCTGCTGGATCAATATCCACTGATTCATTTAACCACAATCTGAAAATATTTAACGTTTAAAATGAAAATACCTAGATATACTGCACAGATAATCAAATGTAGTTCTCAGAACTGGGCACTGGAGGAAATCAGACACTATGTTCTATAGGCAAGGCAGCTTCCTACTGTTATCCGGAATTCTCAGTTCCCGTAGGCCCAACAGAGAGGCAGAGACACGAAGGCTACGAAGGGAGGAAGTTTTATTCAGCGCTGCTGCAGAAGCGGGGAAAAAGCATCGCCACGTGGGGCAATGGTTTCTCCGAAGAACAAAAGGAAACTTACAACCTTTATAATCTGTCCATCCCGGGCGGTCCGGACTGGCTCACAATCTCCATATAAGGCAAGAAAGCAGTTGGCAACTTACAATTGGTTACACAAGGTTGCAAAGGTAGGACATGCGCAGTTGCAACTTGGCTACGTGACACAGCTGGAAGGTCTCACTCACTGATTCACTCGTTTACACCCAAGTTAAAACAATAGCCTGCTTTTACGAGGCATTTTCTGGTTGAATAAGTTAAACATTTACTTTATCCTATCACTTCCAAAGCAGTGTTGTTGTAAAACTCAGAGCTGGATTGGCTGGCGAGGCTGGAGGAGGGGTGCAAGCTTTAAGCCAAACTGCCTCCTGGAAGAGATTTCCCACCTCCCGCCCCACCGTGCCCTCCAGCCACCTCTTTCCTCAAGATTTCTGAGCAAACGAGGAAATGGATTCTTAATTGTCTTGTAAGAAGAAATGGTGCAGAGCCATTGAGATTGTGTCTGTTTGTGTGAGTGAGAGAGAGGGGGGTGGAAAACATGGTCACCTTCAGTCTTCAGTAGGTTAGTAAAGGACAGAAGACTTCAGCTTAGCTTTTATAGTGACCCCCATTGAGATAAAAATTGCAGGTACCAGGTTCAACAGACTGTTATAGCATTTGCTATAACCTACGTTTTTCACCATCCACAGGAGGGCTTGGAACCAATTCCCCCATGAATACAGCAGTCCTACTGTAATCCTTCTTAAGGCTCTGCAAGCATCCCGTGCACACTCCTTTTCCTTGCACATTAAGAACACTGCAAATAAATAAACAATTAAATAAACCATTGTGTGCATTCATAAAATTGTTTTGAGTGTATGTCGCTTGAAGGCTTGATTTATCAACAATTGCCTGGGTCTTGGAAAAAGATTATAATGTCACTGCTTATGTCCCTGGAAATCAAGGGGTTGATGAACTGCTCTCCAAGGCAAAAGGCAAGGTGACACCTGCTTTCCATTCTATATATAGAACCTAACCAGTAAACCAACCGAATCCTAATTCTTTGCTGGATCTGGGATACTATCTTCCTATTATCTGCTGCCTGTAGTGGTTTCCTTAGCTAACAGTAGGTAACCACAGTAACAGTGGTTATGTGCTAACAGCAGGCAATAGTGGTTACACTAACAGTAGGTAACCACAGTAACAGTGATTACAGTATGTGCTAACAGCAGGCAATAGTGGTTACCTGCTCACAGTAGAACCTGAATAAATGGAGGTTGTGGTGTTAATCCAAAGACCTAAACAGAGAGTATCTGCATACGCTACAGCTCAGTAGCCAGTGGTCCCCAGGCCAATGGGAGACAATCTCTCTCTTCCACCAACAAGAATGGATACTGGAACAATGCTGAATCCATCCTGGGGGGAAAAATGCTAGGTCATAATATGAGGATTGTGTTCTAGCCATGTCTCCAAATTTCTTGTACTTAGTGGGGGGGGGGCGTTACAGCATTTACTGTAGGTTTCCAAGACAAGTCAATGGGAGGTTTAGAGATCTGAATTTGCAGACTGGGAACAACAGATCCAGGGAACAGATCAAATCAGGTCAGACCCAGATCACCACAGGTTAAATTATTATCTATCCCAAAATGCTGAATTGGACTCTTAACTGCAAATGAAGGGATGCATGCACAGTTCTACACAATATGATGCTCTAGCTGACACATTCTGGAGGAACATGATTTGAAGTGGCAAAAAAAGAGAGTAGTTTTAAGCGAGCACTGGAGCAGGGGAGATATTACCAGCTTGTCTGATTGGTTTTTGATTCCTCTCCAGCTTTCATTAACATGCTGTCTTATTGTGCATATGGCTCATACACTCAGAGAAGACTAGGGCTGGAAGGGACTGCAGGGGTCATCAATCCCCCACCTAAAGCGTTCCTGACAGATGACCGTCCAACCTCTGTTCAATCATCTTAAAATGTCAGAGAATCCACTATTCTCCTAAGCAGTCCATTCACTGTCATGTAGCATTGCTTAGTACAGTGGTCCCTCGCTTGACGATGATAATCCATTCCGTTCAAATTGCTGTTAAGCGAAATCGTCATCAAGCGAAATTAAAAAAACCATTAGAATGCATTAGAAACTGATTAATGCATTCTAATGGGTGAAATACCTCATTTCTAGCAAAGATCCTGCACAGGGTGGCCATTTTCTGGTGCCTGTAAAGCGAGCAATCCGTGCTGAAAACAGCGGGGAGCCATTTTGCACAGCTGGTGGCCATTTTGCGACCCACCAATCAGCTATTTTAAAATCATTGTTAAGCAAACAATTGGTTCCCGTCAAACAAAAAAAGCCCATAGGAGCATCGTTTTGCGATCGCAATAGTGATTGCAAAAAATCATCATAAAGCGGATTCGTCGTTTAACAAGGTAATCGTTAAGCGAGGGACCATTTGTATACTTGTATATACATACAGAAGTGCATACACACTCTTTAATTAGTTTGACATCAGAGTCAGTGTGATATCTTTCAATTTTCCATTTCTGTGGGCACACATAATCTAACATAGATCGCTTCTTTATATTACCACTGAAATGAAGTTTCAAATTTAGAGTCTAGAGAGACTTAGAATGATCAAATTTAAGCCATGCTCCAAAGATGGTTTCCATATTAAATGGACATCAGCATATGCATTTGACATGTAGTGGGGCAGCGAGAGGCAGAGGGAAGGTACTTCTACCACATAACTAGGATCTATGATTCTACCCATCAATGAATTAGCCTTCAACAACATTGCTTCCAAAGTAACAGATACCTGTGATATGCCAGAAAGAATTCAGAAAAAGCTGTGTGGTCTTTAAAATTAAACAAATGTAAGAGGAGGGTAATACCTTTATTGGACCACTTTTAAAAAAAGTCAAGCAAACTGCAAGCTTTCATGGAGAAAATTCCACTTCATTAGGCTGGACACCACTACTTCACGAATAGCACAAAAACCTGTAGAAAAGTGCATGACCTTACGTTCAAGTGACAGGAAGCCAGATTTCGGTTGAATATCAGGAAAAACTTCCTAACTGTTAGATCAATATGGCAATGGAACAAATTGCCTCGAGAGATGGTAAGTGCTCCAACATTAGAGGCATTCAGGAGAAACCTAGACAACTACCTGGCAGATGACCTTTGATTTGGATTCCTGTATTGAACAGGGGGTTGGACTTGATGGACTTATAAGCCCCTTCTAACTTCATGATTCTATGATAATGTCTTTGCACTGGCAACAATGGTTTTGCACAAAAACTATCAATTTTGCATATAATTGTTGATTATTTTATTATTTTATTTTTTTGCAAAGTTGTATAAATCATGAATTATGCACAACTGCACAAAATTAAGATGGTTTCCATTTTACTTAATAATTTGATGCATTAGATGTGTTGTTGGGTGTTCAAATCCCCACTGTGCCTCTCTGACAGAGGCTGGATTTGATGATCCATAGGGTCCCAGTTCTGCAGTTGATGATGATTTGTTGCCCCAGACCTAAATGAGGTACATCTCATGCTAGATCTCACTATTCTCAAGGATAGAAGAGGCTGTGTGAATGCAAATCTCCTTCCCTCTGTCTCAGATCACTTTGTTGTTCTTCATCCCCACATCATGGGTGGCAATGACACATGATTGCTACATAATTTGTACGTGTGTTGCAAGCTCACACTGACTGAAGGAAGAATTTCCATTTTCTACACATTTTGATGGTCCAGTGGAGACTAATCTAAACAAAGCTTTCTGAAGCACACTGAACATCCCATGTCTATGTGTAAAATTTTTGAGCTCTACGGGGCATTTCTAATTTTCCATCCTAATGATTTCTCTTTCAGTTCCTCAGCTTTGTTCATTAGAAATGTGAATGCAATTTTAATGGAGGAATGAATCCAAATGTCATTTTGACTATGCATGAAAAGAAATTTTAAAAAGAGAGAAAACTATGAACAGCATTCTGTTGTTAACTAAATGCCAGAATATATAAATACTCTTCTGTTACTACACTTCAAGTCCAATATTGGAAAAATGTGGCTATTTATAAATGTTTTGTGTACCTCAAATAAATGATATAGTGTAGCCAATTGTGGGTACAATAGTCCTTAGTGTAAAGTTACAGCTTAAAGACAACAGCAAAATCACTTTAAAATGATTAATATGATAATCATTAAAATATAAATATCTAAGGATTTATAGCTACAAAAATGACTACAATGCATTTTCCTTGTAGAATTTTTCTCTCTCTTCCTCTCTCATATTGTTTAAGGTATATTTTTGAAATTTACATAGCTTGGAATAAATGTAAATTAATTTAACTTTAACTGGATGTCATTCCATTTTCTGAATAGCTCCATTCAATGTTTCCTAGCCTTCGGCCGCCTGCCTGAAAAGAGAATTCTGGGTGTATATTCAGAATAATTTTGCTCTAGCCAAATTGGTCATCTGTCCTTCATTCAAATGCAAAAATTAATAGTGATGATGATAATCATAATCATGCTTGCCCCCCCCTTTAACCAGTGCCATTACTGGAACACGTTCAATTAGGGTCACTGGCATGAATTACGAGGATATCGTTTCCCCTGCCTTACTCATGCAAGTGAAAGAAACAGCTGCAACGTGGCCTATATTCATCGCAACAAAGGATTATGCTGGTTGAATGTTTTAGCCATTGTGTATGAAGGGGCGACACGCCTGGGCAAACCTTGCCATTTTGGTGAATGGAAAAAAAACACTGGACTAGTTTTTGTTGTTTTTGTTGTTGTTTCACCAAAGACATTTTTTTCTGGATCATTTCACCTGGTAAACTGCCAGCTGACCACTGAAGCTGTAAATTAACTCCTGTTTTGGGTATAGAACCTTTCACTGGAAGCCCATCAGCAACTGCCAGAAAAAAGCAGATGTTACTCAGATGAAGAACAGACACGAGGCAGGAGGTCTTTGGACCCTAATTAAATCAGAACTCATTTTGGTTCAAATATGGGAATGCAGGGAGAGGCAAATGGAAGGGGGGAAAAAGATGGACCCTGGAAGTTTCCAGTACAACTTGGAAATTTTACTTTTAGGGGGACTGAAACACCAGTCTTCATGCTCACTACTCATGCTGGTTGGTGGATTATAAGATCTGTAATCAAGTTGTGGTTTCACAATAGCTATAGCATTCTATGTCCATTTCAAACAAGAACATTTAAAACTTAATTTCTTCTTTGTTTAAGTATGTATTACTGTTTGGGTGTTTTTTCAGGTGAAGGTAGAAAGAAGAGGCAAGATGCAGAGAGTCTGGTGTGGAAGGGAATCAGCCATATTTATTTAAGAAAACAGCAATATTAGTGAGGGTTTTGGGAAGGAGAATTAACCTAAAGGTCTGCAGACTGGTAGCTCACATGTTATTTGTGGAAGTCTGACCTTTCCCAGAAAGAATGACTCCTTTCTTTAAGCCCAGATCAATGTAGTTGTACTTTCTAACAAAGCTTTCCATGAGTATTTGAAGGAATTCCCATTGCTAGATCAACTTGTTCATGCAACAAGGTCATCTACTAATTCTTTCTTCTGTGGCTGCCCCTATCTTTGTGTATGCATGTGTTTGTGTGAGTTGCACTATTTGTGAAACTTCCTGCTCAAGGAAGCAACTTCCTGCACTTGCCTTTGCTGTTTCACCTCCATCACCACACCTTTTAAGAATCAGTTTCCATGAAATTGAAAGCTTTCCATGAGTACTTGAAGGAATTCCCATTGCTAGATCAACCTGTTCATGC